CATTGGTTGTCTCTTACACAAGCATACATATTGCTCCAAGAAATCTTTACAACCAAGAACAACAAAAGATACAAAATGGTTCATTGATATTAAAACTACATAACATTTGGTTCACAACAAAAACTAATTTATCAACTTTGAATCATTTTCATTTGGAGAAAATAAAGTTCACCTTAGTGATGACACTACCCTTTCCAAGGCAATGTTGAGATCTCCATGGTCAATGGAAAAACTATTTGTCACACTAATGTATTTTATGTTCTTGAGTTGTAGAAGAATTTGTTCTTTGTTAGTGATTATGATTAACAAGATGTGGCATTTTCATCAAAAATTATACTTGTTGTCTTTTTTCATAAGATGATTCTAATCTAATGTCTTGCCTACTTAAAGATAACTTGGATCTCCTTGATACTAACTTATTCCAAAATAATAACATTTAGATCCATATTAGTACCATTGAGGTCAATGACATGTTATTATCATGATATATCTATGCTTCCAACTCTAAATATACTATAATTACTTTGTATCAACAATGGATACTAACTTGGGCTATAGTTGTAGCTTGGAAGCATATCTAGCCCCAATTTCAACTTGGTAGCAGTTGATTACGACCATGTCTAATCTTAGCTTCATTCTAATAGTCGGCCAATGTTGTCCGCAATTCTAACTTAGTCACTTCTTTACTCTTCAATATTCATGTTGCTTCCTATGACCAATACAACAACTATTAGTGCCAACTTCAAACAATCCGTCTACAATACTATATGGCATCTCAACATGTTATAGATTCAAGCAAAATAAATAGTATCACTGCTACCTTTGATCCCCTCAACTATAGTGAATCTCCTCTAAAATAAAGAATTGTATGCTCCTTACCTAGAGCCTTTGCTGTGTTTCTGTGGTCATTGCCTAACCATGTAATGTCAGGCGGCCAATTGAAAAAATGCCTCTTAGAAGTGGCGGCAAATTTTGTCAAACACCACCAAATTTGTAAATCAATTAATCTAGTGATTAAGACCACCAATCCGCGGCATCACATATTAAGTCATATTAGTACCAATTGCTTGAAATAACTTGCTACTAGTAATGTTATTATTGAATTTATATAATTCACTATGAATAATAACCATGTTTTAACCATATTATTAAATATTTTATAAATTTCATAATATTTAATAATAACCATATTTTATCTTCTTTGCCAAAAATGCAAATGCTTCTATGTATTTAATTTTTTTAATCTTTGGACTAAAACTTAAATGAGATGCAAATTCCAAATTCTTTATCCAAATAAAGAAGAAAATACCTCTTCTTTGATTTTGGTCAATACTTGGAAGCTCATGGTATTCAATGTCAACTCACCACAACTTATACTCCTTGCCAAAATAGCATTGCTGAACAAAAAAATTATGCTATTCTTAATGCCACCTAATGTATGTTTCATGAAGCTAAGTTATTTAAATCCTATTAGAAAGAAGTAAGCAAGTATGCAACCTATTTACAAAATAGGTGTCTCTTCATATAGTCACTTCACATAGTTCAAAACACTAGCTAGCATTCTTCATGCAAAAATGATTCTATCTATTTCTTCCATTTAAAATAATAAAACTTACTTCTCTTGTAATATGAAAATTTTTATACATTCTTTGTAATTCTTCTTCTCACTTACATAACTAAGTATTTGTAACACAAGTTTCTTACTCTCATACTATGACTTAGTTCTAAGCATAGAATGCTAATTTATTACACAAAGCCTCAGCCTAAAACAAAACTGGAACTAATCTTATAAAAATAAAATAAAACTTTGTTCTTAGATTAGAATTCCTTTGATACTATATTAGTATCATATAGTCAGATTGAAAGAGTAAAAGATAATTACAAAAAACATAGCCTCAAAAAAATATAAAAAGTATGTTAGAAACACTCAACCACTAATTTTATCATATTAACTATATTAATTATATTAATCATAATTAGGTATATAGCTACATCTATAATTATTATTTTAAGTAATTTGGACTCATTGCTAGACATAGCTGGCTCTAAAATTAATATTATTAAATTAATAAGAGAAAAAAAAATTAAAGTTTAAATTACTAGTATGTATTTATTAGAATTCTTCAAAGTATTAAATTAATATGGTTCTATAAGTGGCCCTAGCTTGTTATTAAATTGTTCAACATGTTATTCATTGCTATGCATATTACATCTAATCATGACCACATCATTCTCATTAAATATTCTTATATGTTCCTAAAATTATCTTTATATAAAAATTTGTCCTATAAAACTAAAAAGTAATATGTAGTAATGGGTGTCATCTATAAGATTCAATACTATCTCTTACATACTAAACTTTATCTACATTTTTATTCAAATCTATCCACATTTTTGTTTGATTTTGTAGTGGATATCCATGGGACCACAAGAGTTATTTTTAGATTCACTAATAGGCTATCCTATTGGATACATGCATAGGTATGGGTGTGCTAACTTATTTAACATACAAATATAGCATATATAATGTTGGATAGTTCTTATATATCCATGTAAAATTATTTAAATATATTTAATTTTAAAAATATTACAAATTGAAATATTTATCTAATACAAAATAATGGATAATTCATAGAGACAATCTTAAGTAGTACCAGTGAACAAATTGTCTTGACTATGTTTTCTTTAGACAAAACCAATGTCAAAGATTTAACCAAATTCATTAAAAACAATTTGTGTAGCTATCCAAAACTTATATTTTAATGTTTGAAGAAATGATGCAGCTACAATTTGTGCTTTTCTTACACTTGAACAGTAGTAGATGAGATGCTCATGACATTTGTGGTATATTCTAGAAGCAACCTAAGTTCTAAAAATCACTTTTCTAATATCTATTTTTTAATTTTTTAATTAGTTCTATTCAATTATATTAGAAGCATTAATACTTTTTATGCTGAAAATTAGAATCATGTTGACTCCTAAATCAATCCATCATACCTATCTAAGAAGTAATTTATTCTCAATATCATTAATTCTTCAATCTAGTTTTTCTAAATTCCTTCTGAATCTTGAAATGCTGTAAAAATCCTTTAAAATTTATGAGAGTCTTCAAAAATTACGAAAATTTCTAAAAAAAACCTTTCTACACTAATTAACAAGATAAAAATCTAAATTCAAAACTAACTTGTCAATCATATTTATGCTTTGAGAGATATTAGAAACCTTAGTTCAACTCTTTTCTTTTTAATTACTCCAAAAATATTATAGAGAATTACTCTTATTTCAAAAAAATGTGAAAAAATTAGTTCAAGTAGATCTGGTGCTTTAATTTACATGACAAAATTTTCATCAAATTCCAACTTAAAAACTACATCAACAAATACTATTGTTATTAATGTTATATAAAATTTGATATTGTAAAATGATTATGGACCTTTTTATAGTACTTATTCAAAATAAAAAACTTATTTAATAATTCTATTACATGTGTAATTTAAAGTATTATAATTTAATACTCTAATATTAATAAAATAAATATAAGATATAAACACCATTATATATACAAAAATTAAATCTTAGATTAGAAACAAAGTTCTTAAAAGAGAATAATTGAGAAATTAAATAAAATAAAAATTTAGCTAGAGTCTTTGCAATGACAATGTAATTACTAAGTTTATTTTGCCAAAGACCAATCTCTATAGAATTTGTAAAAATATCCCACCCCATCTAAACTTTGATTTGTAAACCTAATATATAATAAGAGCATTAGTACTTTTCAAGTTTAATACAAAAATCTAATAGAAATATTAGTACAAAAAGTTGCAAAGAGATCCTAAGTATATGCCATTTAAGACCTTATATGAAAATTTAAGAAAATAATTGATTCTAACCTAGCAATTGCAACTACATTGGTTACATTGCAATTGTAGTTGTATTTAATTATAAAACTTTTAAGAGCCTCATTTTATGGACTGTAGAAAAAAGATATTGACTAGAAGATAAGAATTATATTTAAAAATTTAATATAATCTTATTTCAACTATTCCACTTATTATTGAGATTCTTGTTGAAGTTTTAATTGTACTTTGCATTTGAAACTATGAACATCAAAACCAAAAATAATAAAATAGAAAGTAAAAATTAGTTCTCTTTATTAGAATCTTATCAAAAAAATTAATAGTTTACAAATTATTGTATTAAAAAGACTGTTTTTTGTAACAACCAAATATGTAACATCTATTATAACAACTATCAATAACAAGCAATAATCAACAACAAATATGACAACACGAAGTCTAGAAATTACATAACAAATGTTATTTGCTACAAAGGAAAAAGGAGAGCAATGCAAAAAATAAGATTTTAAGAAAAACACACTAGAGGCAAAAAAAATATTCTTAATTAGTATAGATGGAAGAAATTATCATAATACAAATAACAACAAAAACACAATGGCTGTCTTTCAATAAAAACTCTTCTAGTGAATCCATGACTTTAAAAGCTTTTCATAATGACTTTAATACATGTTTTACTAAAATAATACATTATGTTCTATTTATCCCGTTACGAATTACATTCTTCAAAGGTTAACACGTTTCTTTCATAATTTTTCTCCAAGCATCGTCCTTTTCAAACCACCCCGAGTATAATAGGACCCATATCCTTGAAGTATTAGTGCAGTTGTTGAGCATTTGGAGGGAACTTCAGCTCTGCACATTTAGATACATTGCTTGAGAACCAAGTTTAACCCCACTGATGATATCACTTAGCATACTCCGGAGTTGTGGTCAACACCGAAACAGAAGAATTTCATTTCATGCACATTTCGTAATAGATCTCACCAACTAGCACTTCACTTCATGGCATCTAGTCTCAGATCGTATGGCGCGGGGATTTCCTCTAGAACGGTGCAGTTCATGAGATATCCCTGATTGGGAATCTGCAGGTGGCGATGGCGGGTTCACGTCGACTGTCGTGTCAGTGTCTGGACAGTGTCTCCGTTACCAGAAATTCCCTTTTATTGACATGTTATGTAATAATCAGTCCGCATATATACAACCTCTAGCATACAAGTAACTGGAAGTAGTGTCGATACCCGTTCCAGGCGCTGTCGACGCGGTCTATTCCTGGCACACCGCCGGCAGAGGTTTCTTAAGTGCCACGACGGGGCCAAGGGGGAGGTAAAGATATTGTACCCGTCTTGATCAGGTTCAGAACAGTGCGAAGATTTTGATGCAAGCTTTGTGCAGAATCATGCTCCATACACCAAGCCGCGGTTTTTCAGTCACAGATGCAGGTGTCAAGATCTAGGCGTCGAAGAGCTGTCATTATCAAAGCGAGTGTGCATTGGGAGCACGGAAAGAACTCGGAACTTGGCGCAGCGGGAATCTCTCCAACTAAAGCTCGTCATGGGTCTAATCAGAACCTACAAACTAATCCTCGACCATGACACCAAATAAGCCAGTCTAACTGGTTTGATGCTTTACGAAGCGGCTGTACAAGGAGAAAGAATGGGAGACATACGTCTGAATACACTAGTAATACACAGTGGCAGTGGCAATTACTCGGATTGGCAAACTGAGCCATTCTCGTCGATCCATCACAGAATTGTGCACCCGCAGTACTTGTGCGCGTGCCTGAAGTGCCTGGAAGTGAACCCCGTCTTCTCCACTTCGCCATTGGTCTCGTCACTATAGCCGTGCTTCGTGCTAGACGCTTTGGATGTCACGGAAGGACTTCTCTGAAATGTCTCCTTCTGGGCAAAGTGGGAGTCATTGGAGGCCTTAGACGCGTGGCTGAACGTGCGAGCAGGTGTGCGTGCAGGAGTGCGCGCCGGGGTGGTAAAATCTATGGTGGCAAATTCGATGGGGGCAGGCGGGTTGAGCTCCATCTCCGTGTCTTTCTCCTCTTCCAGAAGCTGCACCGCCTCCCATAAATTCCCGTCAAAATCCCCGGCGTCATTTCCAGAGGACCGCGGGGGACTGAGACTTGCGTGCTCCTCAGCGCTCTTATCCGTCATGATTATAATTCCGGGTGTAGATTTTAGCGCTGGAAGCAAATCAACACGCTTGTCGTCTGTAACCATACGTCACGCAAGTCACAAACCCACAACTCAGAGATCTTGCAGCATTTCGGGCCGATGTTCAGGAATAACTCTACACAATCTCTACTTAGCTGCTATCATTGTGTCTAGATTTTAGGAGAATGGAGGGATCTTAAAGAAGAAAATAACTTAGCGCTCTGCTTCCCCCACCGCTTTGAGATGATTCAAGGGGATCGAGAAACAGATCTCTTTGCAGACTTGACTGCTGATTATAGAACGTTTTAAGTCTTTATTCGTACCAGAGTTTGCGTTCTTAAAAGCCAGTAAGAATTTTTTTGCTCGAAAGCACAAAGATCGCATCGAATACTTGCTAAAGAAAGATGCAGAATTACCATAATGTTTTGCTGATATCTGGGACGACTCCGAAGTGGCGTTGCTCAGTTGCTTTGAATGCTTCTGTCGCACTGGAGATTGGAACAGATCTGACGCCGGCGACTCAGACCCCAGGTCTATATTCGTTAAACTCGAAGCGGTCTTCGTCTCTCCGAATTTAAACGAAGATAAGTGCCGCCCATGGGACAGCGCATTCGCGCTCTCCACGATTTGCTCCATCACCTGACATGTGCCTTCCATAGTTTGCATGCCCCGGTTCTTCCCCGATTCCCAGCTTGAGTCAGTTGACGTGTCCGTAACCCTGCTCTCGTACGATTTGTCGCTGATCAAGCTGTTATTACTAAGCCTGGAATCCAATCGCTTTATAAACCGCAAGTTGTTCACAACCGAGGAACAATCTGCCTTCTTCGACTCCTTGTGCGCAGACATCAAAACATCCGTTAGTCCACCTCCTTCGAGATCAAGATCTGTCTGGGAATCCAGGAGGTCCACGAAGTATTCGAATGAGCTATCTCGTGAAGGCACCTTGCAATTCTCCTTATTCGCTGGCACTGACGCCCTCCGTTTCCTAGCATTGGGGCTAGCGCTTTGTTCGTATCCATCCAGCTTGTCTAATCCATCGTCATGTCGTGGTGACTTGGCGTCGGTATCTGGGCCAGTGGTCCCTTCTTCTCCAACATCAATTCGTATCTCCAAACGACTTACATTGACGGGTAAAGGCAGAGTCTGAATCGACTTAAACTTGACCCCCGCCATGGGGCTGCCAAATCTGCCGCTGTAGTTTGGATCGTCCCACAGCGCATTATCGTATTGACTGTGAGCTGAGCAAGTAGTGTCTGCGCTGCGCGTCAAGTCGATGCTCGTCGCAGATGGCGTCGAATTCCTGCTCTTTGATGGTAAGACAAGCGATCCATCCCCTCTTCTATAATAGCCCGCGCCAAATCCCGCCTTAGGACTCCCCGCAAACGTACTCAGCTTCTCGGGTTTCTGGGAAAGAACGTCAGTCCTCTCCTGCATGCTCATGTTAGAGTCTGAAACATATCGCAAGGGGCTACGAGGGAAGTCATCTGCGCGCTGGGCATTCACTATTCCACGAGGGTAAGGTGCTTGATCCTTGCGCTCAAGATTCTCGTCGCCTGACAATCCGTCATCCACCAAGTTTTTGGACACCCTTTGCGCACATCCCTTCTCCATGGCCATGTCTGTCTCCGACCTTGCTACGGATTCGTGACTTGCCAGCTTCAATTTGAGTCCTTCGTCACTACAATTTCGACGATCCACCTCATCACCCTGAATCTCGTTGAGATTATTTTTCATAGCGTCCGCTGCGCCTGCAGACACTTCAACGTCCTCCTTGACTTCTGACGCGTTAAAGCTCTGCACCCTGGAAATTGTAGCTCCTTCCCCATTGCGCTTAGTAACTGAAAAAAAGTCTGGTGGCTTGAGCGGTCGCGATGCAGGAGACTCTAAAATCATGTCATGTTCCCAATTTAAGTCATTCTTCACCGTTCTTCCAGCTTTCTCACTTCTTAGCTGCCTGACGTTAGGCTTTCCAACTGGCAGAGGAGAGGTGGGAGATCTAGCGACATCATCAACAAGTAAAACATCCTCCGACGTTGCACTACCACTCACAGAAACTGGCGACATCATGATAACGTCGGGCTCGGGGGATCTCTGGCAGGGACTCCTGTCTCCGCCAAAACCACATCTCTCTATGTTGCCCTTTCGCACACGCACAGGAGAGTTTTTAGCAGGTGAATTTGAATCGAAGACGCCTATCTTTCTGTCTTGTGGTGTCTTTGGAGCCTTTTCACCCCCAGATTTCATGCTTCCCACATCACCAGAAACGCCGCTGGAGTCAACACACGACATCTCTGGGTTCAATTGCCGACATTTGACCTTTTGAATCTTCGACTTGACCGCTGAATCTGCAAGTTCCATTTCTACTTTCTTCGCGCCGCTCACAACCTTTGAAGCTAAGGCTTCATCAACCACCTCGTCATTGGTCCTAATATTAATAGCAGCACTTGAAGGATCCACGGAGACTGTCTCACTCTCTGCAGCGTCTTGACCACTTTCTGGATTTTTAATAACAGGGGGGGTTACGGCCTTGGCATTGGACATCACCAAGGCGTCGTGAAAATTTTTATAAATCCCACACTCGTGTTGCTTGCACATGCTGCGGTACTGATATTCCATCCCACAGCACCAACTGCTGCCCATGTCTTCCATGTCTGTCAGCCCTGGGTAGATTTTCACAGGCCCTTTGCCGACAACGAGCGCAGTCAACCGCGGACTCTTGGTATTCGTTTCCGTGTTGCTTGGCGGGCCCTCTGCATTTGAACCTACGGGCAAGGCTACATCCTCTTCCTTGAGAGCAAACCCCATTTGTGTCCGTTTGATAACGTTTTTTTGTTCTCCATTGGAGCTAGGCTCCTCTGCAGAGCCTGTCGTGACATTGCTGTCCACCTTCGTCATAGCATCAGGCTTCACGTCTTCGTGCGTAACAATCCCTGAAGCTCTGCTCATAATAGAGGTGTTGAATGAGGGGATAGAGCTATTTGTCATGAAAGGTTTGAAGCCACCAGTGGAATTCACAGAATTCTGCTGAACACAATGACCCTGCACAGATACCAATTTGATGGCGTTTCAATCACACGTCTCTAACACCTAATGATTGCACTAAGTGTTGTTCCAGAAATGCGCATAGAGTGCAGCAATTACCATTGAGGTTGAGGGCACCTCTTTACTGCCTTTGGAGTGACGATGCCCATCCAAATCATGCTCAGAAGCTGTAGTTTTCTGGGGAGGAGTGCGGTGATCGCTAGTAGAAGCCCGACGGTTTGGATAAGACTCACTCAACTGGGTTTCAGAACCGCCAACAGAAGATATTGCAGATGGTTGGGACTCTCGATCTTGGCTTCTCTGACGAGGGCTAGTACCTCCGTCTTGGCTCCTGCTTAGGTCGCTGGAACTTCGATCCCGAGTGCTGCTGAGATAACTTGAACCACTATTCTGAGATTTAGAGAGATAGCTATCATAATCCGCTGATGAAGTGCTGTGTCGCCTATCATTGCTTGATTCGTCATAAGATCGACTGACAAGGACGCCAGAGTAGGATGGAGAACCGAAGCCTCGCTTACTGAAGGAAGAGCTGCGCGGGTTGGCAGAGGCATCCAAGAGAAAATGACCTAGATCTTTAGTGGAATCAGAATGATCAGGTTTTCGAACGAGTGAGCTTTGCTCAGTCGAAGCGGTAGAGTCGCTCTCTGTGAAATTCGAGGGCTTCGAGTTTAAGCTTGCACTTATACCAGGAGCGCTTTCTCTGCTCCTGATGTTATTTGGCGAAGGAGAAGCGCGGCGGCCAGTTTCAGATCGCGCAGGGGAAGCTCCCCTCACAGAAGGAGACGACGTCCTCCCCATGCCACCACGCGCCGGAGAGCCGCCCCTCGCGGAGGGCGACACTCCTCGGACAAATGGCTTCGTGGCTCCTGTAGAAGTAGAGGGAGGTGACGATTTGGAACTTGCAATCAATGGTCGATTTGTGATGGTACCAGTGCTCTGTCGCCGCTGTGGCGAAGAGGACACAGTGAAAGCCCTTGTGAATACAGGATGGGAAGCTTTCGCTGCACCTACTGACTTCGCAGCTGAAGCAGTAGTTGCACGCGTTACTGAACTGGACCTTGTCGTCGACGGCGAGTTCGAGCGTACAGAAGGATTGAAACGCCGAGGAGAGGTGGAGGATCTAACAGCAGATGATGTCGATATAGGTGTCGAAGAGCTCTTCGATGAAGCTATACTTGGTGTCGAACGCTTTGACGAAATGGTGAAGGCTGGCCGAGGGCTTTTGGAAATGCCAGGACTCTGGGGCCGAGGACTCTTAGCAGTGCTGGGACTTTGAGGCCGCGGGCTCTTAGTAGCACCAAGATTGCGGGGTCTATTTGGGCTTGTGCTGTTCCTCATGGGACTGGGATTCCTCCTGAGAGCTGCCGCATCCGGTTCCTCAAAGCATGGTGTACTCTGCCGTAGTTGATCGAACACAACGTCACCATACACTTTTTTCAGATCGGGGCTTTCCAAATTACCAAAGATGACACCATCAGAATCAACATCATCACAACAATGATAATAATAACAACAATAAGGAGGAGGAGGAGGAGCAGAGCACAGAGACACTGGATAGGTTTGTGAATGTACTAACCCTCGAAGTTCTAATGGATGAGAGAGAGTCATTTCTGACAAGGCTTTTCAGGCTGGGTTGTGGGGAAGGAGGAACGTCTGGAATCGCCACAAGCCTGCAAAACATACGCATGTAGTAGAGAATGTTAACTTTGTTTACAGGAGGGAGAAGCAAGAAGCAAAACGATGCACGAGAGAGTATGCTTAGGGATAACTTTCACGCTCCCTTAAAAAATGCAAAGTTCTCTCATGTCCTGAGACCAGTGTGAATTGACATCAAACTGGTGATTCTAAAAATAGCAACAACGAAGTTAGTCTTACCACTCGTCTTCACTCTTGACATCAAGATCATCCTTCTCAAGGCCTCCTTGTGCTGACTCTTCGTAACCAGAGGGTACAGTGGATTCCACATTTTCTGTACAACAAACTACAATTTTTTACTGAACTGCGCACTTCATGAACCTTTCGAACTGTCAAAGTGGAGCGCGGTGCAGAAAACTTCTAGTGAACGCGACTATCCACAAAAGTTTAGGTCGAAGTATGCTGATTTAGATCAGTCGCTGTCATTATACGACACTTCTATTAAGAGATGTTTTGATGAGTATCTGAGGCAGAACACAGAGAGAGAAATGAATTACCCAGAGAAGAATCCAAATCCTCGTGTAATCCCAGTTCCTCGAACAAAGCCAGATGCTCCTTATCTCTCCTGAAACTGTCCCCTACTTTGCGACTGTAGTGGCGCTCAACTTTCGCCATGACTTCCACCATCATGGCCTTCCGAAAGCGCAGTTTTCTACGCAATTAGTTCCGTCCCCGGCTACATAGAATAGTACGCCATAAGCTGATCTCTATGAATCGGAATTGAACTGTCATTTCACCTTTAACGTCAAATTTTGCTTGTGCGCATAGAAAGCATCTGAAAAACACAAAATCAACAACAATATGAATCCAAGCAGCTTCCAAATATGAAAGGTGTCAGCAAACATCCGACGGTAGAGCGAAATCAACCACCGGAAAGTGACACATTATAATTCTCAAAATGTTTCTCCGACATACAATTCGCCTTTCGATAATCTCTAGGGATCTTACACTTAGACTTGGCAGTTGAAAGGTCATGACTTACGTCGAGTACGTCGAGTCCCCTCCAAAAGAACAACGCGCTATTGCAGAAATTATCATCGCCGTGGTTCCAAGCATTCTGCATCTCTACAATGTCCAATCTCCTATTAAAGTGACTTGAGTAACTGCCGTTCCCCTTTGGAACCATATGAGCCATGTCTCTTCGCATATCGCGAAACATTGCTACGGGGATCCAGTTCTTAGGATGCTTCCTGTCCGAAGCGCAACTCTGCAAACAGAATGCAAAACATATGATATCGTAATCATCAATCCAGAACTCATCATCAATGAGCCGTTTCCTGTCTAGACCAATGTTTATACTTACTATCAATCCCTAAACCATGCGAGAGCATAGAAGGAAAACTAATAAGTTTAAGAATCTTAAATACGAATTCGTGACAGCATGGTCGTATCATACAAAACAATAGTACGACTTCAAGACCTCATGATCCAAAGGTCATTAAAAACGTTAAGATCATGAGGTAGGAAGGATTTTGAAGGCAGTTGGAAAAATATCACTAAATTTAGACTCAAAAGGCATTCTAGTTAAGACGTCACAAAACTACATGCTTGTCGTTCGATCCAAAAGACATTGCGAAGGGTTAATTCGTAGGTAACACTCGTTCGAATTCTCATTTCGAGAAGAATGGTACATCTGAAGACAAGGCATAGAGAGCGTGCGGAGAGCACTAATAGTGCGTTGCCTGATCCTCGCAAGTGACGAGTACTAGATCTGGAGCCCGTGAATTCCAAACTCTCTCTCGAATTCGGTAATACAACATGTAGCGCAACGAACAAGGAGAGCGTTTAACGGATTGCGCCGTCTACTATGTGAATGTTCCATCCAGGAACTTGTCCAATCGGGCGTCTACTAGTTTCAAGTTTCCAATGTGAAAGATTACTCCAGAAGTGGACCGGAATAACCCGCCCAGAGAATCTAACTGCTTTTCCACCATTCAAACGCACGAGGACGATCATCCACTCTTCGACGCCTTCGATCGAAGGCACAATATCTGCGAGATCCAGTGCCCTATTTCACCCAACGATGAAGACACAGGTAGACACAAGATCAAGTCTCTGACACACCCGGGCGCCGCAGCAAGCCATCGCAACTAAATCCCCATCGGTGTTAACTTCCAAAGACCTTCTATCTAGGCGTTCAAACAACTACCCTCATCTCAAGGCTTCACCCTAGAAAACCCTACCAAAGAAGCATCAGCTAGCTCAGACAACGACTAGTACCTTGTATTGCCCAATTCTCTCAACGACAGCCATCCTAGCAGACCCATCTTGCGACACATGAGCCACCAGTTTAACCCATCCCCCACACACTGGCTTGGAGGACTCGACAGGGAGGTGCGAAAAGTTGCTCGCGACTATGTTTGGCGGCAGTCTGGCGGGGTATCGAGGAGACCAAGCAGCGACTCCTCGTGGGAGAGATCTGCATGTCGATACCGTTTGATGGGGTGGTTGCGCTGATGGTGCTGCAATGCCAGGCGCTACAATGAGCTCCAGGGGCTTCGGCATAACAGTCGGGCGCGAAGGGCGCGAAGCTGAGCCCAACTTCAAGTGAGCTGCTCACAATAGCCAGCGAGAGACATTGTCTTCAACTCTCCGATGAATGTAACCGCAGTCCACCCGAATTCATGGTTCCGCCGGCAGCACTCGGCCGTTACCGTGCCCACGCCCGCCTTTTTGATTGGCTTCCTTAGGCTCCGGCGTTGGATGAGATCAGTTGATCCGTCCACGTTCCGTAGCTTGGCAGAGCGCCGAGCGCAGTGACCGACCCGAACCATCCGGTTCTCATGCCCCTCCTCAGATTGTTCCAAATCATCTCGCTACACCACATCACATCGACAATAGCCTGATTGAATCTGGAAGGCGCAAAAAAATTCAAAGGCAGAGTGAACGACTCTGGCCCTTCTGACCGACGTGGATCCGCATCCTTCCCAAACCTCCTGGTCTCGATGAGGCAGTGCACTCTCCATAGCTTGGTAAGTCTACGCACCGTGCATTAAAGCCCACCAATCCGTTGCTGAATCCGCACTTGGAAATTTTGGTTAATGTATAGTGGATGAAAGGCGCTCTTTCGTCTGTCTTCGTCTTATTTTTCTCTTTATTTATGTGTTGGAAAAGGCGGTTCAAAGTGGCTATTTTTCTTCCATTATTTTTATTTAAATAATAACAATGGCTTTGTCTTGTTGTGCTCATCTTCGTCAGGCCAAGTTTTAGTGGTGGTGGACGATGGTTCTCTCCATTATTTGTCTGCATAAATCCGTGCAATCAATGTGGGTTTTCTATGCTACTAGGCCACAACTCCTGTGGCTTCAAAAGTCTCCCTAAAGTTCACAACCTCGTCGACAGCTGCAGATTTCTTCTCAAGGGCATGGACTTCGCTGTGTTAAAAATAGCACTTCATAATCAATACTTCGATTGCATGACTTTCATATGGTTTTATTGCGCCGTTTCCATCGCTGTTCCCAATCTCGGAATGCAGTGGAAAGCCGATGGATCATCTTCGGTTTCTATTGCTGTAAGAAATTAAATCAACTTCCAGTCACAGAAATGTGGGTCCAACGACGCTTGGGTACATATTCACATCTATGTTTATTATTTAATTATTTCTTTTGCCCGAACGGTCAAAATTGTACTTTACACACTCTAGAAATGCGTCGTTGAGAACTTGCGTGGAAGGGTACTGCGTTGATAAGTCTGCATTATCATACACAAATCCCTAGTCGAAAAATAATAAAAAGAAATAATGTAGCTTGAATATTTGAAGCATTCCAAGCACAAAAATATAAAACATAACCAAATCAAACTGAAGCGGTACAGCTCATTGATACAGTACCATTGAACAGCAATATAAACAAACAAATATAAACGAATGAATAATACACGAAAGAGAAAGAAACGAAAGCAGATGAATTTCCTGGGTGCATTTTTCGAACACGGTAGTACCTTCAAAATAATGTACAATAACATGGGACAAAAGCGGTGTTCTTTTAGTTAAGGCGGTGACGAGTGCTTTCAGACTCTAGCTTGCAAGAAGAAAAGGAGGAACAAAAAGGTAAGATGGTGGGGAGGAAGCAAGAAGGAAACATACCTCAAACGATACATTCCCTCCTTTTGCAGAACCTGCTGCGAAATCTGCGAAAAAGACTTCCCGCAGCGCATGGAAGCTCTCAGCTTGCAAAGCAGAACACCTAAAACACAAAAATGAGCAGCACAAGCTGGCTCACAGTTCCCCAGCTATTGTCTTCTATCCAAAGGACAAATCCTGCAACGAATGCAACCGTTCCAAAGCAAAAGAAACATATAAAAGCTGGCGTTCATGCACCACAAAATTGCAGGTTTTGTTTCCCGCTTGAGTTTGTATTTTGTGTGCAGGTTTGCTTTTTTTTTTTTTTTTTTTTTTTTTTTCCCTCCTGCTTTCCTGCTTTCCTGCGAAGGTGTCGAACATGCTTCAAAAGCTTGCTGGGGGAACATGCTTCAAAAAGCTTGCGTTGGTCCCTGGAAGTAGAAGCCACAAAATGTGACCCTCAGAGTTGGTTGAGTTCGTTTGTGCAGTCATGTGGTGCTCTTCTTTTCGTAGATGAGAGGTTCCTTTCAAGATCTTATCATGCGGCAAATTGTGGTATGATCTTAATCATTATATATAGATGGATGCTATTACAATACATTGGAAAAGTTTTTGATAATGTTGGTTTTGTTGTGCAAGGAAAATGTCATATAATAACATGTAAAGAAGATGATGTATAGTAATGAAGAAACTAATGTGGGTTAATAAGAAAACTTAATTAAACAAGTAATCAGCAAGCTACTATATTTTCAAAAAATATTTAAGTTTCTAAATTTTACTTAATTGGTTCAAATGTGACTTTATTTTTGGAATTTTAAAAATGAGACCAATTTTTTCATATTCACATTGTAGAAAACTTTTATAATGTTTCAAATTGTTTCACATGCATAATGCTTTTAAGAAAGAAATTTATCAAAAAAATTGAAATACATCTATTTTATATCCTAAAAAACGAAATTTCTTTTGACTATTATAATACTTAGAAAGACAAAAGCAAGTCCACAACAATATTGCATCAAAAGAAGAAATTGATTACCAATTATTGCCTAAGCTTGTTGAAAATTCAAAGTTTTAATATTTGAATTATCAAGGTGTATAAAGATTTATTTTCAAATAAATCTTTATATATCTTATATTATGTTAGAAGTTTGCTTATTGTCTTCACATCATTAGAATTATATGCTATATAAATAAAAAATAGCAATTCTTTTTTTGCAATGCACAAAAATATTCTTCTTTCTATAAATATTTAGTTATTTCAAACTTATAACTTATTACTTGGTCAAATATATACTTATATATATTATTAAAAAAATCAAGGTTATAAGAAATCTAATCTAATTAGAGGTTATAATTTTGTAACCTTGATAGATCTAAAGTAATTAAATTAATAAAATTAAAAATTATTAAATCATTATGACTATTTATTTCTAAATCTATAGGAATGGTTTCATAAATAACATCTCTAACAGACAAGAGTCGACTATCTAATCTCAATGTAGATCTATTTAGGTTTAGTTTATTAATATTATTTTAAAAATTTCAATATATTTTTCATCTCAAAAACAAATTAAGGCTCTTGAATCTAACAAAGCAAAGACTTCAAGTCCATATATATATATATATATATATATATATATATATATATTATAAACTAAAAAGAAGGTTCTAAAAAATAAATAAGACCTTTACAAGAGGTTGAAAAAGAATCTAATTTTTAAATAGATTCTATTGTAGCTAGAAAAACTTGTTTATTAACATATTATCTTCTTTAATAGCTTTGCTCATCATTATACAATTGTGTCACTTTCTAAAACAATATTGAGCAATAATTTTAAGTTTTCTTTGATATAAATATTTTTTTTAATAATTTTAATTTTTTTCTTATTTAATAAGAAAAATTAAGCATATTAAATGAATTTGCATATCATCTACTTTAGAATATATGTATTAAAAAAGAGTTGGTATTGCAAACAAATTACAAAGACTTTATAGTATACTTGTATAATTTTCTAATCAAAAGTCAAAAAGTAATTTTTTTTTCTTCACTACAATGTTAATTTCATGATTCAATGTTTGAAAAATAAATAAGTTTAACATTGATTATTTTACCTCATATTGCAATCTATAGAAACATTAGCTGACAAATACAACATCATGCGAATGTTATTAATTATTGAATATCAAAATTATAAAATATATAACAATCTAAAATTTCGTTTGAAGAAAATAATCTAATTCTTATTATTTATAATACAAATTGTATCATAATTTTTATATATAAATTAAAATATTACAAAAACCTTTAAATTATTTAATATTAAATAATTCTATTAAAAAAATAAAATTTAAATAATCCAATTTTTTTTTAATAAATCTAATTTATAGTCTTAAAATTAAATAATTTTTAAATTTAATATAAAATAATAATATTATTTGATTTATAATTGCTCAAAATTTTGACCTTATACCATTAAAGTTCTTAAATAAGGCAAGTCTTAGTTTTCTAATAATGGTTGTAATGCTTGCAAGATATTATAATATTATAGAAATTATTTTTATAAGTATGGATATTAAAATAATTCTAATAATATATGTATCTTTATTTATAACCAATCTTAATGTTTTTGGATAGATTAAAGTGAGTTACTACATTACATTACTAATTCTTTCATTTTTTTTTGCATTTATGTCATGGACATGAATCTCAAAGAAAGAAATCCTTAATACATTCTTATGTCACTCAAAAGAATTAAAAAGTCGCTCAAAGATAATAAGGTATTAAATTAAAATGGCTATTGCCAAAGACAAGAAGACTAGAAATTCTTGAAACAAGATGGAGGACTAGAAAGGCATCGACAAGAGTAAAGAAGGCTTCATTCTTGCCTCCATATATACTCTTAACTAAAAGCTACATGACGATGTCGGAGTAGAGAGAGAGTTTGCCTCAAGAAAGTGCTGAGCTTCTGGTTGTGACTAAATGCTCAATCAAATTTAAGATATAAAAGTACCAAATTTACATACATGATATTTTCTTTTTAGGGCAATTACATCAATATACAAGCCCAAGTGCCAAAAAAACACCCAAATGTATGATAAAATATCTTAAAACCTTATATATCCTTGTGAGAAATATTTTCCAAACTTCAAGAGCTTATATTTCAGGATTGGATTGTCCAAACAACCCTAAATTTTACATGAAATACTGATATACTTTCAAAAACTATCACAAAAAAATTCAATCGTAAATTCGTTACGCTGTCATATTCTAAAAGCTTATAATATATAAAAATTAATTAAAATATATTATATATTAATAAATCTAGATGTATGTTAGAATGGTTAATAGATTAATTTAAAAAGAGTAGATTTAAGAAACTTTACTTTGAGTTTTATCTTTTTTGATTATAGCATTTAAAATAATCGTATGACCTAAATATTTAGTATAAAGCCTTAAGAGGAGATTAGAGCCTAAAGAAAAAAATCTTAACTAATAGGAGGCTTATTGGGAGGGATGAAAGTAAGGCATGATTAGATGAAGGCAAGGAATGGAAAACTTCATTCCTACTGGTCGAAGGCCATACCCAATGGGCTTCAAGGAGGCTGCCACAGGCCTTATTAGGGATTAGGGTTTCTCATTTAAAGTCAATCGAGCTTTGGAGGCTAGGATCAGCAAGTTCAGGGTTTTGGGTATAATTTGGGTGAAGAATTTGTGTGATTTTAAGTTTTTTTTGAGGGAGATATAGGTGTTCAAAGTTGAGGTATCAAATTTGTACCTAGTGTCACTC